CATTTATACACTGAATTAATCTGAATTGATATCACACACACTGATCCAAAGCATGCATTGATGGGTACACCGACAATTAATCTGAATTAATATCACACACTGATCTAAATCATGGATTTATGGGTACACTGATAATTAATCTGAATTGATATCACACACACTGATCCAAATCATGGGCATTTATACACTGATAATTAATCTGAATTAATATCACACACTGATCCAAATCATGGACATTTATACACTGAATTAATCTGAATTGATATCACTCACACTGATCTAAATCATGGATTTATGGGTACAATGATAATTAATCTGAATTGATATCACACACACTGAACCAAATCATGGATTTATGGGTACACTGATAATTAATCTGAATTAATATCTGTGTGCATGCACATGCAGAAAAGCCAGTTTAAGCAGCAGGAAATGTGAATATTTCAACTGACAGCTGGCAAAAATATTCAGTGAGTGTTGTTTCAGCTGACAGCTCTTAACTGGCTCACCAATACAGGAATTTCCAAAATTCTAATAAACTTAATGTCACCTCCATAGAGACAAGAAATTAAATCACATAATTACTACAGGAATAGCAAAATTAATACAGACATATTTTTTGCAGAGCACTGTTGCCATTAACTCAGCTACAATTTCTTTTGGAAGCAAAGAATTAATCTCAAATTCTGATTTATGTTCAGACAAAAAGCTGATTCATTCCATAATTTCAATGAAGTTTTGCTCATTTACTTCACTTTTAAATAATAATTTCGTATTTAACACCTCAGAAGTCACAGCTAACCCTGACATTTGACACGTGCAGCAGACACTGCTTTTCCTTTCATTCACACTGATTTTCAGTACAAATTAAAGTGCTAGGCAAAAAAAACCTTCTGTATTTCTCTGTGAATGAATGCTCCCAGGAATAAAAATAGAAAGCAGTTTCAGTCATAAGGGCAGGGAAAGTACATGCAAATAAACACTTGCAGAGACAGAAACTAGGGAAAAAACATCACTATTTAAAAATAACATCAGTATTTTAACAGCAGCAGTTAATAGATATCCACAGCAGCTTGTCCTAATCAAAGGGAACATCGGAATTTTAATTTTATTGAACATTTCAGCTCAAAACCCACAGCAGAAGCTGAGGGTGGCTTTGAGGGGGTCACTCACATTGACATCGGTGTGGTGAATGAGAACGCAGAGCGCGGGCAGGATCTGCGGGGGGCANATGGATATTCTTTCAATTCCTTCCCTATGGATATGAACTCAATTCCTTCCCTATGGATATTGACTCAATTCCTTCCCTATGGATATTGACTCAATTCCTTCCCTATGGATCTTAACTCAATTCCTTCCCTATGGATATTCACTCAATTCCTTCCCCATGGATATTCACTCAATTCCTTCCCCATGGATATTCTTTCAATTCCTCCCCTATGGATATTCACTCAATTCCTTCCCTATGGATATTCATTCAATTCCTTCCCTATGGATCTTGACTCAATTCCTTCCCTATGGATATTCCCTCAATTCCTTCCCTATGGATATCCACTCAATTCCTTCCCTATGGATATTCTTTCAACTCCTTCCTCATAGATATTAACTCAATTCCTTCCCTATGGATATTAACTCAATTCCTTCCCTATGGATATTCACTCAATTCCTTCCCCATGGATATGAACTCAATTCCTTCCCTATGGATATTCACTCAATTCCTTCCCTATGGATCCTAATTTCCAGAATAAAAATCAGTATTTGCTGCAATTTGCCACGAACTGGTGGAAGGAGTCAATTATTCACATCTTTATGACATGACACAAAGTGGAGCCCCAGCTCAGGCAAATCTAGAAGTTCTCCATCAGGTAACATCCCTGGTGTTATTAATTATTAATTAATATATAATACCTTATTAATTTTTTCTTTGGGATGTATCAGAAGTGCTGGGAAATGTGAGAGAGCTTCACAGTTGAGAACCACCTGTGTCTGCTCGTCGGTGCCAGTGACGATGTTGCCCACAGCCCTCAGAGCAGCAGTCTGAAACAAAACCCAACATTTCCTCTCAAAACAACCCTCTCAGCAAATTGAAAGGTTTTATGCAAATACTGCAGCACACGGGAAAAAAATATTTATTATATTTCAATGTGAGTTACTGAAAGGATTTTGGGTCTCCTGCTCAGTGTGAGCCAAACTCACCTGGACTTTGACTTCCTGGTGGCTGAGGAGAGGAACCAGGTGAGGGACAATGCCAGAGTCTATCACCATCTGGATCTGCTCGTTGCCAGCGTCCGTCAGATAGGAGAGGGCCCAGACTGTATCTACCAATATCTGACAGGAGACACAGCACAGCTGATCCAGAGCATGCATTGAGGGGTACACCGACAATTAATCTGAATTGATATCACACACACTGATCCAAATCATGGACATTTATACACTGATAATTAATCTGAATTAATATAACACGCTGATCCAAAGCATGCATTGATGGGTACACTGATAGTTAATCTGAATTAATATCACACACTGATCCAAATCATGGGCATTTGTACACTGAATTAATCTGAACTGATATCACACACACTGATCCAAATCATGGACATTTGTACACTGAATTAATCTGAATTAATATCACTCACACTGATCCAAATAATGGGCATTTATACACTGAATTAATCTGAATTGATATCACACACACTGATCCAAATCATGGACATTTATACACTGAATTAATCTGAATTGATATCACACANGCAGGAGCTGCAGCCCTGCACTCTGCCAGCCCTTATCAGCAGCTGCCACATCTGCAGGGCCAGCTGAGCCCATGGCAGCTCTGATAAAGCCCTGCAGGCTGCAGCAGCACCTCAGGGCTGGGGTGACACAGAAAATCTCCAATCTTTCCTCACAGATCAATAAATTGGCAGTGAACAGAGCTATCTGTGACCAGCTCTGGGTTAATTGTCTTTTCCCTTAAAGAATTCCCACATGGTTTTGCTGTTCCCTCCTTCTGCCACAGCAGGCCCTTGGCAGCACAGAGAGGTTTGGGAAATCACTTTTTAACAGACACCAAGAGCTGGAAAGCAGTGCAGGATGTGAAGGCCAGCACCAGTGCTTGGGATCTGACCTTATCTAGAAGATGGATTATCATTGGAACAAGGTTTGCATCTATTACTGCCTGAACTTGCTGCTGGTTTCCTGCAGTGATGTTGGATAGGAACCACACTGCTTCCTGCAAAATAAAACACCAGGAATTAATTAATTCACAGAAGGATTTCACATCATTGATGTGCACTGCAACTGGCCAGCCTGGAACACAAGCAAACATTCCCTCAGCCTGACTGTGCAGAGCTGAAATCTTGCTGAGACAAACCAGAGGCACAACCTCCCCTCAGGAGGCTCCACCAGGCTCCTCAGCCTCTCACTGCTACCAGCTTCAACCAAACACTTCACATTAAAAGGAGAAAATATTTGGAGACAGAAAATGCCAAATGAGCATTTCTGATTGCTTCCAGCACTGCCAATGAGCAGGTTTCAGGATTCCTGACAGGATTACAGGATTCCTGACAAAAGCCTTATTCCAGACATGACAGTTCTTTACCTCCTTCCCAATGGCTCTCCTTGGCTTCAGGAAAATGCAGCACTATCAATTCAACACCTGATTTTTAACAATACTCTGCAGTTTCTGACTCTTTATGCTCATTGTGTCCACAAGGCCAGGACTCTCCTGCCAGGCAAAGAACAGATCTCTGCCTCAGCAGCCCCTCCCTCACCTCCCTTTCAGAGTGGCAATCCAAACTTTAATCAACAAATAACAGTTTAAAATACAATTTCAAGTATATTCAGAGTTCCAACCTTCTAAAATCCTACAGCTGATAGATTTCTCATCTCCTAGCAATCCTCCACCATTCAGCCTCCCTGAATGAGAACTTTTTAACTGTGAATTTCAAGAGAGGCTTCAGCAGCGTTCATCCCTGACTCTCTGAGATCAGAGCACAGGATCTGGTGACCCTGGAGACATTTGGGCTGCCTGGGCTCTCCTGGTGGGCGTTTTTGGGGCTTTAATCACAGGCAGTGTTGCAGAGGGGCCCCTGAGGTGCCCAACACGCCTCAGATGCACTCCTGGCTCAGCACTGCCATCAGTGCCCCCAGGAGAGCCCC